CTTCTCTGACTCATCACAGACACAAACTCAGCTCTGAAGTGTCTCATTCTGCTGTTTTTTTAAAGAATATTGTTGATTCAGAACAGTTTTTGAGGTTTAAATCTGCTCTGGGGTTTTATTATTGGATTATTACAGGGACTTCCAGACTCCCCTCACCCCAGACACTTCCTCCAGCTCCTCCAGTGGGACCCCGGGCTGTTCCCAGAGACAGGGTCCCTCCAGGTGAGCGCCTCCCGGGGGTTTTTCAGGTCCATTTGAGTGATGAGTGTGAAGTGATGTGACGTTTCTCCCGATTTACCGTCGTGTTTTTGTGGTGTGACTCGTACCTGTGCCGGTTTCACGCTCTGGTCTTGGGTTTTTGCTGAATTCTGAAGCTCTGAATGAAACACATGCACAGAGTTAACATCAGTTTCCAGGTAATAATGTGAATAAAACAGAATTATGACACAATTTAAAACACCTTCCAGGTAGGACTTGGTCATGTCGACTGCAGACGTCGTTTCTCGAGGCTCCAGCCACTCGATCTCTCCAGTCCTTAAACCGTCTGCAAGACTCTTCACAAAGAACAACACATTTAGAATCAAAAGTTAAAATTACAACCAAGTTCTGCTCATGAACCAAAAAACACACGAGCAGAGCATTTAAAAAATCACTTATTGACATGGAGGATGTGTGACTTTCGTGTTTTTTTTTTTACACCTGAAGAAACTCCAGCTCCCTGAACATCTCAAACATGGGGCTCCTCATGTCTCCACTGGAAACTTTGATGTTCTGCACAGAAAATAAAATAAAGAATCATTTTCAGACACTGAGTTCAAATAAATCTGAAAATCTAAAAGTCATGCACTCCTGTCAATTGTAAAAAAGTAGAATAAACTGGTATAATATGATTTTATGGTTGAATTGTTTTACTTTTTACTTCATACTTTGTTTTAAGATCATTTGAAAACTCAAGAGACATTTTCATTTTCCTGTGATCAGTTCGAGCGTTCATGGTCCTGTTAAGGAGTTTGATTTTACATTAAAAGATGGAATAAATGAAATAAAGTTCAGATTAAAGTCTAACATTCAGTTGAATTAGTTGCGCTCAAAGCCTCAAAGCCTGTGTCGTCTTTCCTGTAGCTCGTCAAGAATTTTGCAGGTGGAGTTTTTAAATCTGGAATAAAACTATGGAGTACGAAAGCTTTCAGAAATATTTGTGTGCTTAGGATAGAAAACCGTAGCCAGGTTGGCGCTTCCTAGTGCCTCCGCTCAGTTTCATTTCTCTCCAGCTCTAAGTCAGAAATCAGAAAACACGAGACGATTTACAAAAACCCCAGAAGTGTGAGTTCAGGCTCCAGCCAATCAGAGAAGAGACAGACATTCTGTGTTGGCGACGATTCCCGAGATCGAGGATTTAAAGTCAGAACAAAGAGAATGTTTGGTGAATTTGATCTCGGGGAAAGACGTTATTGTTCTTCTTCCTACAGGATTTGGAGCTTTACAAACGTCACGACCAAACAGCAGCGATTGGTTCAATAAAAAAAGTCCCCGTGTACTGTCGAGTGAACGAATCCTAATGCTGCAGGTCACACGGTTTCCACCAAGTGAAACCAGCTCAGGAATCAGACTAAGAAATCTGTGCATGTTTGGCGGTAGCTGAGCATAAAATACTCCAGAAAAGACAACGGTTTTGTTTTCACAAGCATTTCTTTTTCTTTTTCTCGCACCAGTGTGGCCGTGGAGGAGGAGGGCGGCGTTTCCAGGACTCTCCCCACGTCGGTCCACCTGAAGTCGACCGTGACGCTGCTCTGAGACTCGATGATCGTGTTTTCAACAACCGTGGAGCCAAACAGGTTATATGTGGCAGAGCCTTTGAGCGTCATCTGAAACAGAAAACAGAAACAGAAAGATTCAACAAACACAAAACTGAATCTGTGAGGTTTAAGTCAAGTTCTAATGTTCTAATGTTCTAATGTTCTAATGTTCTAATGTTCCCTTTTCAAAAACAGAGCTGGAGTTATGTTTGTTTCATTCACATGTCTGAGTCACTCGTCTGTCCACAGAGCTCTCGATCTTTTTCACTGACAACATTTCAACATTTTTCCATGAGTTTTTCATGACCTGAAGTGAATTTTCCATGACTTTCCAGCTCCTACATGTGTAGAATTGTTCAGACTTTTAGTGTAAATCTGAAATGTTTAACTCTTTCCTCTCACCTTATGGTTTGGGATTATAGTTTTGAACATTCTAAATCCTGTCAGTGCGTTTATTTTTTTTATTTTTTGTCGTCTCTTTTAAACAAAAGACGTTCACAAATAATCAGAACAGACTCATGAAAACTGAACAGAACGATGGAGCTGAGGGAGAGAGACACTAAAATTCCAGGACTTTCCCAGGATTTCCATGACCCTGGGATCCCTGTGTCTACATCTCCAAAGCTCCAAACTCTCTGTTCCAGGAACTTTGGCAAAACCTCTTTAGGACAAAGCAGTAAAATAGAAAAATCTACTGTTATCTGAAAAGAAAAATGTCCAAACTGTATGTGTGTGTATGTTTCCTCTTGTGTAACGTCCTGTATGTGTAAGTGCGTTTAATAAAGATGAATAAACAGAAACAAAAGATATAAGGGAACAGAAAATATGTAAATGCAAATCTGATTTGACAACTCGAAAAATGTAAACACACACACTTTAGATTTATTTATTGTTCTTTTGTTGTTTGTTGTGCTTTCTTTTTTTTTTCTGTTGTTTTTTATATTTTGTCATGTCTTATGTCTGTTTGTTATTAATGTGCCGGGTATTTGTTGCCTTCAAAGTGACAAAAATTATATTAAAAAATAAAATAAAGTGGTAGTTTTCAGTTCTCAGCTCCTTTTGCCTTTAGTTCAGTGTAAATTACCAACTCCAGGATTAAAATTGATCCAGATGTTTCTAGTGAAGGTGTGTGGGGTTTAAAAACACAGTGGAGCACTTCCTGTTTGAGAAAAGAGTTTGTGTTAAATGTGCAGGTTTGTGTGTTAAACATGTGAATGAAACAAAACAAAACACGACTCCAGTTGGTCTGTGTGACGAGGAAACCGCAGCAGAACAGAGAACAGCCTGATTCATAATAATTCTTGAATAATAATATAAATATTTCTCTCACTGAAGTGGGGTGGTGCTTCTTCCTGTGCTCCTGTTTCACTTCGTCTAACGTCATCAGAGATTTGTCCGCTGCAGCGCCTGGAAACACACACAGAACATCATTTTTATTTCTCTGAGTTTTGTGTTTAGATCAGTGATGAGACGTGTTTAAAAAGTAAAATCACAGGAGCGACTCTGGAACCAGGTTCTGGATTATTAATAGGACTTTTTTTGACAGACAAAATAGTGAAACAGGATCATGTGTCCTGGGTTAATACAAACATTTAACCATCTCCAGACAGACGTTGCAGATTTGCAGCAGCTAAATGCCAATGACCTACTTCCTCCACATCCAGATTTTATGAGCTTTTTTACTCCGGAGCCTTTTCTCCCGTCCAGGCTGATAAACGTGGACGATACAGACTGTGCAAGAACGACTCCACACAAACCAGAAGTGTAAAGTACTTTTGTTCATAAAAATTGTTTCTTGGAGAACCACACAAAAAAGTGATGTTGTTCTGTCACTGTAAAACTGTTACACTCTGCTTTTGTTTTCATTGTTATGAAAAGTGGTTTACACATAAAGTTTGTGTTCATATCATTTTCAGTCTTCAGTGTTAATTTACCACAACAGACCAATGCTGCAAATCTGAAACATCCCAGACACACTGCATGTGAAGGTCTGTCTCAAAACAAAAAAAGTCAGGATTGTAATATTATTACCTCATGTGATCATTTTCCCCAAATATCAGATTTTTTCCTGTTACTAAAATTTAATTTGAGCCTGACTGAGTTAAGACCAAAACGCCAAGTCTCACAGCGGCAGGTCCAGAGAAGAGCCACAATGTTCTAATGGAAGTCAAAGGGAGCCAGAGTCAGAAGGAGCCAGAAGAGCCTCCTGGAGAACTTCCTGTTTGGAACACGGTGCCCAGTGTGTTAGATCTGTCCATTTATATCATGGATCTATAAGAATAATTGGATAAGGCACTTTCCCTCTTTCACGTCTCGCTGTTCCAGGTTCTGCAGCTCGGGGAGTTTGGGCCCAGACAGATTCTCCCACAGACGCAAAGCATTTTGGGAATTGAACCTGTCCGTGTTCTTCAGGGCTTCACAAAGATTCTTTTCTATTTTCACAACATAAACTATTTAAAATGTTTAAATCCTTGTGGCTCCTGAAGTGATCTTTGTCGGACTGAGCCTCCAGCAGCTCTCGCTCTGATTGGTCCAAACACTTCAAGTCGTGCACGTCACAGGCGTCACACGGGTGGGAGGAGCTCGCCGAAGTAAATGCAGAAGTGAACTTTTTTTTTTGGAGCCCATGAACCACTGAGCACAGGCCCCTGAAAACAACACGTCATCTTGAATTCATCTTCCAGATTTTATTCTTTTATTCTATGATTTATATGTTCGGTCTGTGACATGAGGCTGATCTTCTGCGAGTCGTTTTCTTTAGGTCTAGGGGTGTGCAAAAATATCGGAATATTGATATATCGTATCGTTTAATTTGATGATACAGTATCGATATCGTGGGATACTGTATCGATATTTCACCAAGAGTATTTTTCGGTGTGTTTTACTAAATTATTTAGTTACAGAGCTGCAGTTTTGTTGCTTGTTTAGTGAACGGAAACTCATTTATGCGACACATTTGATATTTTTACTGTTTTGATGATTAAAATGTTTGTGTTTCATTTTAACTTTGCACAAGAAGTGATTTAACAAAGACTTTTAGTATCACAGCCATGATTTAGCCTTTATTTTTTATTGAACCGTATCGAATCAATTTGAAATATATCATATCGAATAGAAAGTTCACTGTATCGAGACATGTATCGTATCGGCAACTCCTTAATGATACCAGCCCTATTTAGGTCTGTTGTTTTTGTTTGTCAGTTCTTGTGTTAAATGTTCTTTAGAAAGTAAAGTTTATTGATCTTTGAAAGGATGTGTTTGCATTTTTATTCCACTGTTATTATATTAGTTGAAAATGATCTAAAAATGTCAATATTATTTTTTATCACAATCATTTCTTGGTCAATACGTTTGTCAAAGTCTGATCCTGTCAGATCTCAGAGGCTCAGCAGGACCTGGTCTGGGTCCTGGTCTGGACTTGGATGAGACTCTGGGAAAATCAGGAGCCACAGGAGGCGCCAGAGCAAAAACTGTTGTTGTGTCCTTTGGCAAGACACTTCACGCACATTGCCTAGTGTGACAGTGGTGTGTGTGTGTGTGTGTTGGTGGTGGTGGGAGGGGCCGATGGCGCAGATTGGCAGCCTCCTTCCGTCAGTCTGTCCCAGGGCAGCTGTGGCTACAGTAGTAGTTTACACCACTGGGTCTGGAGTGAGGGAATAATACTGAATAATGTTCTGTAAAACATCTCTGAGTTTCCAAAAAGCTCTTTATAAAACTGATGCATTATTATTAATTAATCGTCCAGGAAAATCTGTTCTCGTTACAGGACAAAATACAGAACAGTTCAAGACCGACCAATAACTTATCAACTTTATTTTGTTTTTAGTACTGCTTTTATGTATTGATTTTATTTTTGTTCATTGCTTTTATTATTATTATTTTATTTATTGATTCTATTAGTTTCTTTGTAGTTGGAACATGATTCTGTAAAACACTTTGTAAACTGTCTTGTGTTCTACAAATAAAGTCGGACTGAACTGGATTAGATTTGAAGTAAAGACGTTTCCACAGAGAAAAGCGTTTGACGAACTCTCCGTCAGAAAAGCGACACAGTGCGGCTTTAGTTTTTGCATGTACCTTTGCAGGTGACAGAGTAAAGTTTGGCTCCTGTGACTTTGCTCCCCGTCCCGATCGCCTCGGCCCCGAGCCAAGCGGTGCCCGCGGGGTCACGCGAGTCACAGCGAATCCAGAGCGGCGCCAGGGAACGATCGCCCGCCAACGCCAACGCCACACCGGGGTTCTGAGCCAGGACGTAGAAGGAGAGCAGCTGTCTACAAACACACAAAAACACACAAAACACACAAAAAAACACACAAAAACAGTATTTGAGATTAGTATTAAAACATGAACGCTTATGTTTAGTTTATTTTTACTTTTGAAAACACATGAATCTGGAGTTTGTCTCAGATAAACGACACTAAAGACAAAATTTCCAAAGCGACTCCTGTTCTGCTTAAAGTAAAATTCTCCCTAAATAGTTCAGCTTTATTAACTTTGTTTAACTCTAGAAATGCTCCAGATCTGATGGACTGTTTGGAAATTTGGGGGTCACATGTAAAATTCACCTACAACTGTTATTTATTTTACAGAAAAGATCCTTGAGAATCATCACCAACATCATCATCATCATCATTGTTACAGTGAGACATTCAGCTCAGTATCTGTGAAACTTAAAGTGTTGAAAATGTTTGTTATTGTCGATTTAAGTCTCCCCAAAGTCGTGTATAAATCAAAGTGCCGAGTGTCATCTGTAAATATTCAAAGTCTGTTTGAGACGAGAACAAATAACTATTTAAATTTTGTGATTTAAAAGGAAGCGACATGTTTAAAAATCCCAGACTCAGAGCCGAGGTTCTGGAGCGAAGCGTCGCTGTGAAAAGAGTTGAATTTATGGACGAGTCTCGACTGGGGCCGGTGTCATTAAGAAGCTGCCGATATGATACAGCCATTTGATTCGATATGATATATTTCAAATGGATTTGATACGGTTCAATAAATAATCTACTAAACTTCTTGTGCCAAGTTCAAATGAAACACATTTAAATCCTCAAAACAGTGAAAATGTCAAATGTGTCGCATAAACGAGTTTCCTTCCTCTGAACAAACAACAAAACTGGAGCTGGAACTAAATCATTTAGTCAAATAAACCAAAAATCCTGTTGGTGATAAATCACTACAGCAGAGCACGATATCGATACTGTATCACATTAAACAATACGATATATCGATATTGTGATATTTTTACACACCCAGAGTCTCGACAAAGAAATTAAAGAATCAAGAACAACGACGACATTAAAAACACATCAAATCCAGTGCAGAGTTTGTATGAAAAAGGAAACTAAACTGTTGTGCATCAAAGTGAAGTTTTGTGTTTGCAGTTGGTACATCCGTCCATTTAAAATCAAACGTGCACCTGCACCCTCCCATTTTTCCACATTTAAAGTGACTGAAACAGAAGTCAGATCATTATGAAGGTGAGTCACACAGAGAAAACCCGTCCCTCTCATGGACAAACCCAACACAGGCTTTTCTTTATTATTTCCTTTAATATCATCTTTTATTTAGTTTGATCATAAACGATAAACTTTTGTGCCTTCGTTAACATTATTACTAAAAACAAAAAGAAAAATGTCATCATAATAAAAGTGTTTGTGTTGGAGGCGAGTTTGTGGAACGACCTGAGTGATGATTTAAAAAAGTCTAACACTGTAGAATCTTCAAAAAGAGAATAAAATGTTCTGTTTTAAAGATCTCGAGCTCTGGAATGAATGAATGATTTTTTAAATTTAGTTTGTTTTAATTAATATTTTGTCTCTTATATTTACAGTGAGTCATGAGTAAAATTACAAACTCAAACTTTCTGTTCAGACGCAGTTTTTCTTTCTTGAATTCTGTCGTTGTTTTACAGAGTTTGTGTTTGAAAAACTTTTATTTCAGATTAAACTCTTTCACTCTTGATCCACGAGGCTGGAGTCTGTGATTTGGTTCTTTTTGTTTTGCTGCAAAATGAATAAATAAACTAAACTACATTTTTGCACCTGCTCCCACTTTTTCTTACAGCTCTTGTGTTAAATGTTCTTCAGAAAGTAAAGTTTATTGATCTTTGAAAGGACGCATTTGCATTTTTTTATTCATAATATTAGCAGAAATTTGTCTCAAAAACTCAATATTATAATTTTTTCGCTATAATTTCTTTGTCAAATACTCGTCCAGGAAAATCTGTTATCATTACAGATCTAAATACCCCAGTGTGAAACGTTCTAGACCGAGCAGAAACATTTCCACAGAGAACAGCATCTGAAAAATGACACAATGGAGCTTTAAAGGTTGTATGGAGGATTTTTTTTGTTTCAAATTGTCAGTGATAGATTATAGATGCAGTCGCCTTGTAATTATGATGACCAAAAAAAAGAGAATAAAAATTCATCAACTCTGGACGTGGTGGGGCTAAACATTTGCCAGTAGATAACGACACTGCCTCGTTATCTGTGAGCTGACAGGCTGTCAATCAAACTCCCTACGTTTCTAGTGTAACTGACTTGTCTGCGCCGCCGGTACGTGGTTTACGTACGACACAGACGCTGTTTACTCCACCAACGCAACAGTTCTTAGCGGCTTTTTTTGACCTATATCTTCCTCGCAGTTCGCACAAAGTTTGTTGCAATAGCGACAAGAATCCAGGAGCAGTTCGCCGCAAAAGAAAGTCCGTTTTTGAGGTGAAAGAAGAAGACAAACTAAGGTGATTCTTGGAGATTCATTCCAGCGATGGCGCGACTGAAGCAGACGAAGGGTCTAAAGACTGAACCACTGGTCCACAAATTACTCCTGGACAGGAAACTTCTGCTTATTATGAAAACGTACTTTATTTCCAAGAGCGAGACAAACGTTTTTCAGGACACGAATGTGATATCCTGTGTCTGAAAACGTAATTTTCAAGGCAAAGAAAGAGTCCACTTGCTGCTGCGTGTTGTAGTTAGTTCATTCGCACTGAATCTCCGCGCAACCTTCTCTGCTCCCCTTTCCTGCTCCTGTCCTCGCTGCCCGATCCACTCTTCCCCCTGCTCCTCACTTCTCCGGGCACAGAATCTCTGCGCACCGCTCCTCTCCCCTCTCCCTGCTCCTCACTTCTCGTCCGTGCACGAAATGTCCGCGCCCCCCCTCCCCCCGCTCCTCACCTCTCCATCTTGTCTAACCAACACTGTAGTTAGTTGTTTACAAGTCATGTGCAGCGGCTGTAAACAAACCTGTTTGTGGCGTAAAGAGGAGGCGGGAGGAGGTGTTTCTCCGTAGGAGCTGTGGGGGAGGGGGGGTGGTTTCACGCATGCGCAACATTTGAAAAAGGACAAACAGTCGCTGGATTTCTCGTTCCTTGGAAAATCCTCTATACAACCTTTAAATTTTGTGTATCTTTGCACGTATATAAAGCAAGAAATAACCTAAAAACTAGAAAAACTTGGCCCCAAATGCTTTTCCAGTCTCTTTCTGTCTGTTGTGACTGAAACAAACTGAAAAACTGGTGTCATCTCTGAGCCTAAACTTCCCAAAAGTCCATCCCTCGTTACTATTTTCCTCTTTTTTACTCTCTGAGGTGTTGATCCGTGTCACTCACCTGGCCTGGTTCACACTGAGCGGCTCTGGTCCTGGGTCAGATTTCAGAAAACTCACGTCCCGTCCAACTTCAGCCTCCTCATCATCCTCATCATTGACACCGTTCTCTGAGCAGTTTGACGTTTCTGCCGTTTCCTGTGGCTCGGATTTACAGTCAGTTTTGGGAATCTAAATGAAAAACAGAATAAATTACAATGAATTAACTGAATAATAATGTAGTTACAAAAGTCAAAAGGTCTGTGTGCCGTTTGTTCTTTTGAATTTTAACTCATTATTTTAACTTATTTCATTTTTCTGTTTTAGTGTCAAACAAAAAAACAGATTTCAACCTCGATTTCCAATATTTAACTTTATGACACTAAAACAAAAAACACAAAAATCCCAGTAAACACATTTTAAACTGACAATTTCATTCAAAAGCCTGAGCTGCCACAGATAAACAACAGAGTGAAGCAAGAATTAGCCATAGAAGTGATGTATTCTCCCCCGTACAGCTCAAATCTGATCATATTATAAGAAAACCAAAAAAAAACCCTCCCCGTTAAGGCAAAGAAAATAAATACTGAGCCTCAAAGTACACAGATCCAGCTCAGTCTGTGTTTCATTTGAAAAACAATAAAATGGGAAATCAGTTTGTTATTTCATTATTAAGTTTTAGTGTCAAACAAAAAGACCTGTTTCCAATATTTAATTTAAAGTTTATTTTAAAAAACACCAATCAAAGAGTCTCGTGTTTATTTTAATGTTGATATTTGATTCTCTCTGGATTATTTGAAGTTTTTCTTTTCAGCGTCGCCTGTGAAATCAGAGTGAACATAGAACTATAATAAAAACTATTTTTATTTTAGTTCTGTGGAGTCGACTGAACAAAGTTTATCTCTGCTTCTGTTTCTCTTCATGGATCAACAGTCACTTTCTAGGACAAACATGTTAAACTCAGGCCCTGGACCAAATCTGGCCCGTGATATATTTATATTTGGCCTATGAGATCAAATCAAACGTGTATTAAAGCTGCTCGCTGTTACAGATCGGGAGGATGTTGAAATTTTAGCAAATATTTAGTTTGGCCCATGACTTAGTCCCAGTTTTAAATTTTGGCCTCTGTCAGTTTGAGTTTGACTCTTCTGATCTAAGGCGATAAAATAAAAGTGTTGCTGTAAAAGAAGAAACAGCAACGATTTTTCAGGTTTGTCCTTCAGCAGAAAAACTTCAAATAAACCAGAGAATCAGATATCAATATTAAAATAAACACGAGACTGTTTTGTGATTGGTGTGATTTTAAATAAACTTTATTATTAAAATCGAGGTCGAAATCTGGAAACGGAAAATTGAAATAAACTGATTTCACATTTTATTTTTGTTCTTAATTGTTCCTCGTCACACTCAGAGCTGGAGTTGTGTTTGTTTATTCACAGGTTTGAGTAACTTTTTATGAGTCTGTCTACAAGCTCCAAACACTCTGTTCCACCTCATGATGTCATGAAGTTCTCAGCTCCTTTTCCCTTCAGTTTAGTCGAGATCGACGACTCCAGGACTGAAATGATCCAAACGATTTTAGTGAAGGTGTGTGGAGTTTAAAAACACACCACATGATGACATCACAAGGTGGAACAGAGTGTTTTCAGTTTGACAGAACTTGTAAATGAAACAAAACACATCTCCAGTTTGTCTGTGTGTGACCAGGAAACCACATTAGAACGGAGCAGAAAATAGCAGAATAAAAAGAATAAAAGCTCTTTAAGCAAATATATAGAAGTAGAGATTTCAAAGTCTGGAGCTTTCTAAACCAAGTCCCTGAAACAGACCGTTCTGTCGCAGACGTAGACGTGCTGGTTATTGGTGATCAGGTTTATCAGAGGGATTTCTTCTCCGTTCACGTTTGTAATCTGTATGTCCTCCTGAAAAAGATCCACAGAAACATGATTCATGCACAAAAACTGAAACAAAACTGCAATTTATTTATTTTTTTTATTTATGTTTTTTTTTTTTCCTGCAGGTAAGAAATGTACTTTCTTTTACAATAGAACTCATAACATTAATGAAATCACAGCAGAAATAACAACAACAAAAAAATTTATATAAGAATAAAAAATTGACCCAAGAAGGAGCGGGAAGAAGAAAACTTATTTAATCCCACCTTCCTTTTCTAATCAAACACAGTGAGCTTTTCTTTTGAATTTTTCAGACATTTTATATTTTTAACCTGGATTGAAGTGGTGGTTTTTTCATTTTTCTTCTTACAAATTCGCTAAATTCACAGTGACATCAGCAGCGGTGAAACACCGGAGACGAGCCCGTGTAGACCGTCAGGTGACCACGAGCGAAAGGACCAACATAGAACTCCACGGGCTCAGGGTTCTCTCAGGGGTGGAACTAGAGTCCAAGTTCTAGTCCAAGATTAGTCCTGGTTCAGTCCTGGTTCAGACCTGGTTCAGTCCTGGTTCAGTCCAGGTTCAGTCCAGGTTCAGTCCAGGTTCAGTCCTGGTTCAGTCCAGGTTTAGTCCAGGTTTAGTCCAGGTTTAGTCCTGGTTTAGTCCTGGTTTAGTCCAGGTTCAGTCCAGGTTCAGTCCAGGTTCAGTCCAGGTTCAGTCCAGGTTTAATCCTTGTTTAGTCCTTGTTTAGTCCTTGTTTAGTCCTTGTTTAGTCCTTGTTTAGTCCTTGTTTAGTCCTTGTTTAGTCCAGGTTTATTCCTTGTTTAGTCCTAGTTTAGACCTGGTTTATACCTGGTTTATACCTGGTTCAGTCCTGCAATATTAATGTAACGTCTTATATTTTAAACACAGTAATATTGTAATGTAACGAATGACTTTGAAATCACAGTAATAAGTCATAAATAAAACACAAACAAAAACTTTTACGGTTTGTTCGAACAATAGGCCATTTGACATGTCCATTCGCTCAAAAAATATGATTTCTCTCTCTCATTTTGAACACATTTTGTAGATTATTTGATGGTAAATTGTAAATCTTGTTCAAAATGAGAGAGAAAACTGAGATTAGACCAGGACCCACCTCGTATTGACACGGACAGTTGTTTTTGTCTCTCACGGACCTGCACAAAATCACACGGAAAAACTGTTACAAGACGCGGTTTATGACACGAAGGTAACGGACTGGAGACTCACCAGAGCGCGTCACTAAACCTGTGTGCACCGCTCAGTGTCCTGGATCCCATCGCGGCTCCGGAGAAAAGAAATGTTCCGTAAATAAACTTTTTTTTTTTTTACTCGGAGTTTTGTTTCAGACGCGCGCCCAAAGCATCGCTCCGCCCCCTCCCGCTGATGTCATCGTGTCACGTGATCGGGTCAAACGTCAAAAATTTACATTTACAATTTTTAAATAAAGGAAGAATTATTTATAACTGGAGTAACTACATGTACTCTTAATGAACAGGAATTGAGAAAAATATTACGAAACAAAAAAATAAATATAAAAATAAATAAGTTAGACTGGACTACGTTTTCTTCCGCCAGCGGACTGAAAATAATCCTGGTTCAGTCCTGGTTTAGACCTGGTTTAGTCCCGGTTTAGTCCCGGTTTAGTCCTGGTTTAGACCTGGTTTAGTCCTGCAATATTAATGTAATGTCTTATATTTTAAACACAGTTACTATTTACTATTTACAATTTTTAAATAAAGGAAGAATTATTTTGAACGGGAGTAACTACATATACTCTTACTGAACAGGAATTGAGAGAAATATTAAGAAACAAAAAATAAAATAAAATAAATAAAAATAAGTTAAACTGGACTACGTTTTGTTCCGCCAGCGGACTGAAAATAGTCCCAGGTTTCTGACTTCATAAGCGGTTTAACAAATCTAAATGGCATTTTAACCTCATAAACCAGTATTTTATATTTATTTTCCACATATGTTTTAGTATTTAGTGTGAGTTTTGTTGAATTAAGTAAAAGATGAGAGGATTATTTGTGGCGGAAGTGGTGTAGCAGGAGGCGGATGGATAAAGTCTTTAGGTCGGGGTACGCACTTCCTTTTCACTGTGGCCGCCATAGCGAGAGGAGCGTGGTCCCGGCGAGCCCGAAGCCTTTAACCTCAAAATGGTGAGATATTTTCATTAAGAGCGGCCGAGCGTAGCGTCTGGTGGTACTACAGTGTCTTATTTAACCGTGGCTTTGCAAAACGACCAAGTCCGGTGCTTTTTGTGAAGTTTATGAGCTAAAGAAATGTCCCGGAGGAATCTACACGCGGAGCCATTTTGAACGCGGAGCCTGAGCGGATCCGGACACGTGTTAAAACAGAACAGAACAGAACACACTTTTACTCTTTAATGGTGTTATTTGTGAACGGGTTCGCTACATGAAGACATGACTGATTGTTCGTAGTATAAATTGCGTATTTGTGAGTGTTGATGTGCGCCTGTAGTGTTTAGATTCTGCTCTGTGCAGTGTTGGGCCTGATCCGTGACACACCGGTCACAAGTTGCACCAAACTACACTAATAACTACATACTACTACATAATACTACTACCAGTGTTGGGAAGGTTACTTTTAAAATGTATTCCCCTACAGATTACATAGCCCAAAATGTAGTTTGTAACGGAATCCATTAAATTACTTAAAGTGAGTAATGTAATCTGAATACTTTGGATTACGTGATTTGCTGTAGAGAAACAAAGACGAGGAAATCTTCACATAAGATGTTTTGTCTGATAAAAGAAAATGAAAAGGCAGAGTCTTTAAAAAATATTGATAGAAGAGGAGGAGGCACAGTCACACAGCATGGTTTAGTCCTGGTTAAATCCTGATTTAGAACTGGTTTAGACCTGGGTTCAGTCCTGGTTCAATCCTGATTTTGTCCTGGTTTAGTGTCCGGGATACAGCCCAAAATGTGTAAACGGGAAGATGCCGCTGTGTAATCCATTTATTTCAACAAAGTAACTGTAATCCAATTACCACTCACTGAAACAGTAACTGTAACTGAATACAGTTAGAATTTGTACTCTGATTACATAACTTTGGTACATGTAATCAGTTACTCCCCAACACTGATAACTACATACTACTACTACTAATAAACTACACTAATATGAACATCAGCCTGTGGTTTTAGTGCTTGATTCTCCTGTATCTGAGATCTTATAAATAAAATTACTTTCTCTTTCAGGCCTGTGCTCGACCCCTGATCTCGGTTTATTCCGAGAAAGGAGAATCTTCTGGCAAGAATGTTGTGATGCCTGCTGTGTTCAAGGCGCCCATCCGCCCCGATGTGGTGAACTTCGTGCACACCAACATGCGCAAGAACAGCCGCCAGCCCTATGCTGTCAGCGAGCTCGCAGGTTTGTCCCGCAGACAAATGAAACTTTTTATATAAAGTGATTGTTTCACAGTTCAGACTGACACTTGTTTCCAGGTCACCAGACCAGCGCCGAGTCCTGGGGAACAGGAAGAGCTGTGGCCCGTATCCCCCGTGTGAGAGGAGGAGGTACTCACCGCTCTGGTCAGGGAGCCTTCGGAAACGTATCCTTACACACTTTAATCTCCCGTCTCTAAAAGTAAAGAGTAAATGTTCTGACCGGCTGTGATGGTGTAATTTGCGTCTGACTCTGTGCCGGCGACAGAATGCCTCCTGTCACAAACCGCCACAGACGACTGACGAACCTAAACTCTGAGCTTGTCTGGAGTCGTTTTTGTTGTGATCTTAACTCTGGTGCAGATGTGTCGTGGGGGACGCATGTTTCTCCCACCAAAACCTGGCGCCGCTGGCACCGCAGAATCAACACCACCCAGAAGCGTTACGCCATCTGCTCTGCCCTGGCCGCCTCTGCCATCCCAGCACTTGTCATGTCCAAAGGTGAGCTCGTCTCTTCAGTTTTTGTTTTATTTCACAGTTGTAGACGCGGTCAGTGTTGCAGTGATGGTGTAATTTGCGTCTGAGGCTGTGAACAGTGACAGTTGCCTGCTGTCGTTTTACTGTCACATGTTTTTGATGAACCTTAAGTCTGAGCGAACACTGCCCCCTGCTGCTCAGTGTCTGTAAATTGAACTCTGGTTAACACTGTTGACGTTTTAGGACATCGTATCGAGGAGATCCCAGAAGTTCCTCTGGTGGTTGACGACAAAGTTGAGAGTTACAAGAAAACAAAGGAGGCTGTGCTTCTCCTGAAGAAGCTCAAAGCCTGGAACGATATCAAAAAGGTGAACGCTTAACTCTGTCATTTTAAGTGTGGCTTTGTAAAGTTGACCTGAGTATTTCTGTGTTGGACTTTATCACTGATGTGTGTGTTCTGTACTGTCAGGTGTACGCGTCCCAGCGCATGCGTGCTGGTAAGGGTAAGATGAGGAATCGCAGACGTATCCAGCGCAGAGGCCCGTGCATCATCTACAACCAGGACGCAGGAGTCACAAAAGCCTTCAGAAATATCCCAGGTAAATAAAGAGTTTATTCAGTGATTTGCAGCAGAACAAGGATCATGAAGAAGGGTTTAGGCTGAAGTAAAATGTACTTTTAATCCCTAAACCTGTTAAACGGTGACTGAATTGCAATAAAAAGAGGCATATGAACAATCACAGGACTTGCCTAAGGAAGAAGTCTCTCAAGTCTTTTTTTTTTTTTTTTTTTTAGTAGTTGTGTCTTACTGAATGTGGAGTAAAGTTCATGTGTGTTTCCTCCAGGCATCACTCTGCAGAACGTGAACAAACTGAACCTCCTGAGGATCGCTCCCGGAGGTCACGTCGGACGCTTCTGCATCTGGACCGAGAGCGCCTTCCGCAAACTGGACGAACTCTACGGAACCTGGCGCAAACCGTCCAGCCTCAAGGTCGACTACAAGTGAGTGAACGAGCGAGAAACGGGCTGGACAGACGGTCTGTGGAGGCTGGTGGGGCGTCGGCCCGTCCATAACAAGTTTATATCACTTCAGATAAATACTACGATTAAAGAATATTTAAAGCTACTGACACAAAGCAAGATAACTCTAGTAAACACATTTGTAAAACAGAATCCTAAAAAGCCCTGAGCTCCAACAAATAAACAGCAGAATTGACACAGAAGTGAGTTATTCACCTCTGCAGCTCTAATCTGATCTTATTACATAAAAATGGAAAATCTCCACACTATTGCTGAAAGAAGAAAATATAAACATAAATCTTGAGTCCTAAAATGTTTCATTTTCATATATTGAATAAGTCTTAGTCACTTAAATATATGGTCCTTTTTATATTTATGTATTAAGTAGAAGGTATAGAAAGGTTGGTTGACTTGTAGGATGGATATTATGATGTATTTTATTTGTAAAGTTGTGTTTTTAAGTTTACATAGTTGAGTCAGACCTGTTTGAGTCGTCCTGAGACATGCAATGATGAGCTTCCACTTCATGGTCCGTGTTTTTGACATACTGTGATATTTCCTGAAGTTCTGAGTCATGTTCTTGTGTTTTCAGATCTGTACTTTAAAATCTGTTTCTGTACAAACTAATGTGTGAGTTTACATTGTTTTTCAGTCTGCCAATGCACAAGATGACCAACACAGACCTGAGCAGGATCCTGAAGAGCGAGGAGATCCAGAAAGCTCTTCGTGCACCAAAGTAAGAACCCACACTTTTCCACATGGATCTATGTTTGAGTCTGTGATGAGTTCCCACTTCAGGTCCGTGTTTCTGAACCCTGATTATCTGGAAGTCCTGAGTCGTGCCCACTGCTTCAAACTCAAACTGTCATCAACGCGTTTCCAGGTTTAATAAGAATTGTTCTTGTTTTTTTGTTTTCCGTTTGTAGCAAGAAGATCAGTCGCAGAGTCCTGAAGAAGAATCCTCTGAAGAACCTGAGGATAATGCTCAAACTGAACCCGTACGCCAAAACGGCCCGACGTCACGCCATCCTGAAGCACGACCCCGCGGTAAGACCCACAACCCGAACAATCATACGCCAATGTTCAGATCAAATATAATCCCGAGTGTTTAAGACTGGGCTAAAAATGTGTTTTGTTTTTTTTTTCCCCCATGTGGCAGTTTTTTAGTAGCCAGTCTGGCGCCACCTTGTGTTTCCACTTAAATTTCTCTCAAACTCTAGGTCAGGAATTAGAAATTGGAAAACACTAGACCAGGGGTGTCCAAACTTTTCATCAAGGGCCACATGTCTAAACACAGATGAAGCAGAGAGGGTCGATCAAGGGCCGTAGACTGGAGCTCAGTACAGTGAATAATTAAAATATGTGCATGTTTAACGTTAAAATGAGCCATCAGTTTTTATTCACGCTAAGATCCTCAAAACTACACACTAAATATTAAATACTGGCTTTATCGAGGTAGATTTTCAAAAAACTTGGAATAAAAAGTAAATTTTTTGTTGATGCACGATAATTTGGGGCAATTCTCCTGGAAGCCTGGGGGCCAAGAAAAATTTGTCTGAGGGCTGCATTTGGCCCCCAGGCCATAGTTTGGACATGACTGTACTAGACGGTTTTTAAAAACCCTGAAAGTGCGAGTTCTGGTACCAGCCAATCAGCAAAGAGACAGACATTCTGTGTTAACAATTCCCGAGATTGAGGATTTAAGTCGGAATAAAAAATGTTTGAATTTTATCAAGGGGAAAAACGTTATTGTTTTTCCTATGGGATTTGGAAAAGCTTAATTTACCAGTTTAACCCCGTTAGCAGCGCATTACAAACGTCACGACCAAACAGCAGCGATTGGTTAAATAAAAACAGTATCCGCCTCCTGTCGAGTGAACGAATCCTAATGCTGCAGGTCACACGGTTTGTACAAAGTGAAACGAAGTAAAACCGGCCGAATCGGGCAAATTTTTTAGGCAAAATTTTTTTTCCTTTTCTTTTGCATTTTTAATTTGTTGAATTCAAGTATCAGGGAAAATGGGTGAAATTGGACTGAACATTTGGACAGAATTCTCCCAGTGATGCCATTTTACAGCATCTATTTTTTTCCTTTTCTTTGCTTATTGATTTTGTTTAGGGGTGTATGAGGTTTTTTTTTTTTTTGATTCTCATTTTTGTCTTTCCAGATCAAGGCAAAGATGTTGAAGCCCAAGAAGAAGCGCGTCCTGAAGAAAACTCCAGCCAAACCCAAGGCTTAAATCTACCGTGTGGTTCAGAGACTAAAAATAAAAGTGGTTTCAGATTTATTCACTAGACTCTTTATTTGACAAAAGCAAAGTCTCAGAGAAAATCTCAAGCACAAAGGTTTAAGCAGCATCTGTCGTTTCAAATATGAATCTTTAAAAACATGGCTTAGAGCAGAACCCGGCCGACGGGTCACCTTGGCTTTACACGAAGAACGACCGCACCTTTAACACGCGGAGAGGGGGCGGGGCGGGGCGGGGCCAGAGGGCGGGATGGGCTTCAGGTGCAGGTCCATGGGTGGGGGTTTACGGGCTGGTCCGTAGGGGGTTTCGGGGCTGGTCCGTGGGTGGGTGGGTTCAGGGCAGGTCCGTGGGTGGGGTGGGTGGGGTGGCATGGCGCTGGTCCGGGGGTGGGTGGGGGTGGGTGGTGGGGTCCGGGCGTTCACGGGGGGTGGTGGTGGGGGGGTTTCATGGCGCTGGTCCGTGGGTGGGGGTGGGTTCATGGCGCTGGTCCGTGGGTGGGGGTGGGTGGGGTGGTGGTCATGGCGCTGGTCCGTGGTGGGGGGGTGGGGGTGGGTGGGTCACGGCGCTGGTCCGTGGGTGGGGGTGGGGTGGGTTCATGGCGCTGGTCCGTGGTGGGGGTGGGGTGGGGGGGTTCATGGCGCTGGTCCGTGGGTGGGGGGTTCCGGGGGTCATGGCTGGTCCGTGGGTGGGGTGGGTTCATGGCGCTGGTCCGTGGGTGGGGGTGGGGGTGGGGGTTCATGGCGCTGGTCCGTGGGTGGGGGGGGGCGCTGGTCGTGGGTGGGGTCATGGCGCTGGTCCGTGGGTGGGGGTGCATGGCGCTGGTCCGTGGGGGGTGGGGGTGGGTCACGCGCTGGTCCGCTGGTCCGTGGGTGGGGGTGGAGGGCTGGTTCAGTCCGATTGTGCTGCACAACCACCCGGCGAAGTCGACCTGCTCCGCCTCAGACGACCTGATGAACTGATGCACCTGGAAAAAACAAACATGGAAACACCAGTCTGGGGGAGCTCTGTATGTCTGCACTGGTCGAATGTTCAGCAGTTCCCACGGACACACTGTCCCTGTCAGATAAAGTTTAAGAGTTTTCAGAAAAATACTTAAAAGTAATCAGATTACTCATTTGATAATTTGATAAAGAACAGACAGAACCAACTTTAAAAACCACACACACACTTCACTGACACTTTGCTCTAGTCTGGGGGGGGGGGCAGTTCTTTTTTCCTTGGGGCCACAGAAACTGAAAATATTGTGGAGCCAAAATGTTTTAACTCAGTTCTGCAGAAAATTAATAATCAGTAAATCTCTTTGTTGTGACGCTGCTCGGACTGGAAACAGTTTATGTTCTGACTCATAAAAAGTGAAGCTGCTGAACAAAAAATGTCATTAAAAACACGTCGCTAATAAAATAATGCAGCTTTAGTCCCAGCAGGAGGTCGAATGATCAACTGTTTATTTTGTGATTCCAAATGATTTTAAAGGTGCGGGTCAGAGTCGACCACAGGACGGACCGCGTGGCCCCGGAGCTGAACCAGACTCAGGTCTGGACTAGATCTTAAAGCCGAGTCTCAGTTTGTGTCGTTGATGTTCAGAGTTGATCTGCTCCTGACACCAGAACTCGACTCCTGCTCCTGTTTGTTTTTATTTTTATTTTTAATGGAGAAAACACTTTTGTCTGGGGAAAAAAATAACTAGTTACTTGGGACCATAGTTTTTAATCCAATTATTATATTCAGTGTTGGGAAGGTCAGTTTTAAAATGTAATCCCCTACAGATTACACATTACATTTCCCAAAATGTAGTTTGTAACGTAATCCATTAAATTACGTAGGTGAGTAATGTAATCTGATTACTTTGGATTACTTGATTTGCTGTAGAGAAACAAAGACGAGCAAATCTTCACATAAAAGTTTTTTCTGATAAAAGAAAATAAAAAGTCCAAACTTTACTGAACCAAATTAAAAATTTTTATGATAGAAAACGAACGGTTTAAGTCCTGTTTTAGTCCTGGTTTAGTCCTGGTTTAGGTTTAGTCCTGGTTTAGACCTGGTTAGTTTTTTTAGTCCTGGTTTTAGTCCTGGTTTTAGTCCTGGTTTTAGACTGGTTTAGTCTGGTTTTAGTCCTGTTTTAGTTTTTAGTCCTGGTTTTAGACCTGGTTTAGTCCTGGTTTTAGACCTGGTTTAGTTTTAGACCTGGTTTAGTTCTGGTTTTAGTCCTGTTTAGTCCTGGTTTTAGTCCTGGTTTAGTCCTGGTTTAGTCCTGGTTTAGTTTTTAGTCCTGGTTTTAGTCCTGGTTTAGTAGTCCTGGTTTTAGACGGTTTAGTCTGGTTTAGTTGGTTTAGTCCTGGTTTTAGTCCTGGTTTTTAGTCCTGGTTTAGTCCTGGTTTAGTCCTGGTTTTAGTCCTGGTTTAAAAATGGTTTAGCCAATGTCCAAAATGTGAAAACAGTTAAATCTGTCTAATCCATTTATTTCAACAAAGTAACTGTAATCCAATTCCCACTGACTGAAACAGTAACTGTAACTGAATACAGTTACTCATCATTTGTACTCTGATTACTCCAGTACATGTAATCTGTTACTCCCCGACACTGACTATATTTACAGTTGTATCTAGTTACTGAAGTAATCTGATTACAGTGATCCTCGACTTTTACTTGTCACTCCTCAAAACTGCAGCCCCGTCCCAAAAAGCTGAACTAAAACAGACACAAAACATGAAAACTGGGAACTGAACTGCACGTTTTCATATTTGTGTTAAAATGTCGTCTTCTCATAAACGTCGTGAAACAAACGTCTCACCGTGAGCTGTTTGAGATCTGCTCGCTCCGCCGGATTCTTGATCAAACTGTAACAAAGACAAAACCATTCAAGTTCAGCTCCTGTTTGTCGTGACGTTTGCCTCAGAAAAACTTCACACAAACCATTTATTCACGAAATCTTGAAATTCGGTGCTGAAAATCCCTGGGAGTTTGGGCGGAGGCTGCGACGGGACAAATGAGATTCAGGTTAATGAAGCGTCCGGGTCACAAACTCTGTCATTTATTTAAAGTGAAAAGACTTCACCTCATTAACGATGTAATCCAGGAGCTCGAAGATGGCCATGGGAGGTCTGCTGTCGTGGCCGTACGCTGCAAACACATCATTTTGGAAAAGAAAAGGTTCAGGCTACAATTTTAAAGTAAAAAAAAATGACATAAAACTTTAATTAGTTTCTTCCAGCGAGTCTCAAACTGAAATGAACTCACTCTTTAAACATGAGCTGCGACATTAGAGCCATGGAAATATAAAAAGATAAAATATAAATCCATAATTGACCTGCAGCCGCCACAAAAACACATGACAGTTGTTCACCTCCAGGGGGCGCCAAAGTAACACTTCACTCCCCCAGAGCACATCTGTACCTCACAGATGTGTCACAATATGAATCCTTAGTTAAAGAGAATAAAGTGTTTTAAAGATCTCGAGCTCTGGAACGAATGAATTATGGATTAAATTTAGTTTGTTTTAATTGATATTTTGTCTCTTATATTTGCAGTGACTCGTGAGGGAAATTATAAACTCAAACTCGCTGTTTTTCTTTCTTGGAATTCTGTCGTTGTTTATTAGAGTTTTGTCAGAGGCGGAGCTACAATTAGGCAAAAGTAGGCGGCTGCTTAGGGCCCCTGAACGTGGAGGGGCCCCCAAACAATATGTGTGTTTCACGTGACGTCACAGGGCGACGTTTGTCAGCACAAAATCAGATGGAGGCAGGAAGTGAACCGACTGGAGGAAATGCAGATGTGTTGTGTAGTTTACGTCTGTGCCAATCGTTCTAACCCAGAGAAGGAAAAGACATTTTTTTAGAGAAAGAAGATAGTCGTCCACAAAGGTCAGAAACGGGAAAAGCCGACAGAACAACGCCGTAAAAAGTGGATCACAAACCTGTTTGTGTCGGGAGGAGCAGAATTCACTAACGCTCGTGTCTGCAGTGACACTTCAACAAAGGTTTGTTACAAAGATAAATTGTTTTCTGTGATTTACCTAAACATAAACGAATCATTAACGACGAACGACGTTTGTTGACATTAAATAGTTCAGATAAATCGGTCACTGTCGATACACTGCAGTTTTTCCCATAACATCGATACACATAAAATAAGAGAAACACTCCCCCCGGCCAAGACCAAACATCATCAACATTTAGACGTTTTGCACCGAGGTTGAGGATCCATCCACTGACAAAAAAAGTTCTATGCCTCCAGACTTTTGTACTTTGCCTTCATCTGTTGTCTGGTGTAGAACGATGTCTGAAGAGTTAAATAGTTCATGATCTCCTCTGCCTCGATTGTCGGCAAATCTTTTACTTCGGTCGAAAATTCTCTCATTTTCAATAAGATCAGGGTCACGTCCAATATATTTGTGGACTAACTGCTCGTACTTTTGTCTTGCTACTGGCTCTAAATCCTGACAATAAGAACTCTTCTCCATATCTGTGTTCTCCAGAGCCGTGATTGTTTGTCGTGTTTGTTTGTCGTGTTTGTTTGTCGTCACTTCCTGCCCTCCACCTGAAATTCGCGCATCATCATGATCACATGACTGAAACCCTCCCATTGCCCTTGTGATGACCACTAAAGGCCGAGGGCTCAGAGCTTTGATTTTCTCTCAATATGAAACTAAATGAGAGTGTTTTACTTTAAAAAAACAAACAAACATCAAAATAGAATCTGATTGAATCTGTTTTAACTGTCAAAGCATTTCCCACTTTCACGATAGAACGAACGAGTCAGTTTGACCCTGATTTGAACAGAATCAATCATAATAGATGTAAACAAAAATGTAATTGTTCTAGGAAAAAATAAAACTACTTTCAGTTCTGGTTTTCTAGTCAGCAACTGAACAAATCAGACAAGTTTCCAATCCACCAGAATTCAAATAAAGATGTGTGTGTCTTGAGAACAATGAGGAAAAACAGACAATAAATATATTTAAAAAATACAAAACAGTGCATTAAAGTGAGGGCAGCAAACTGTTGACTCCACCACTGAGTTTGGTGTTAGAAGAATTTTCACTTCAGGCTAAATTCTTTCTCTCATGATTCACAGGGCGTCTGTGTTGTGTTTTGCTGTAAATAAACTTGAACTACTAAAGTCCAATTATTGCACTCGTCCTAAAGCTTCTGGAAAATCTAATCTCTTTATATCATCTCGTTAGTTTTAATTTCCACAGTTGATTGTTCTGTAATAATGAGGAGAGTCACAAAAGTCCAAACGGTTTTCAGCTGATTGGACGAGACAAACATCTAGAAACCTCCACAAACATCCAGAAACATCTAGAAACATCACTCTGATTTCTATTAGCACCAACTGAACTGAAAGTGAAAGTCTCTGGAGCTCAGCAGTTTCACCCACAGAAAATCTCTCATTCACTTTCAAAAAATATACATATATCAGAAGTTTGAGAGCTCAGGGTGAATCAGCTCCACTGTGGCCACTTGTTCTGGTCCTGGAAGTAAATTTTCCAGTCATTTTTTCCCACAGACTTTTTCAAAATGTCCAATATTCAGAGTTGAAAGACGTGAGCAGAGACGTGCTGACTCCTCACACATTTAAAACACCAGATTCTGTGAAATGTTTTAATAACTCAGAGGTTTATAAAGATTCAGAAACAGTTTTGAGGTAAAAGTCCAGGTGTTGTGCTCGCTGTTCCACAGAGCTGATTCACTCTGGGATTTCAAGGCAAAGGAGGAACTCAGTTTGTCAAAAACGTTTCACAGCCTGGATGAGCTAAATAAACGTTTGTTTAGTTTAGTGTATTTGAGTTTATTTAATGAGAAGGGAGAGTGAACAGTTTACATGAACCTGAACAGGAGAGATGTTTGTACCAGGTTGTAGCTCCAGTGTTAATTTCCACGTGTCGTCCAGGTTCATGTTCTAGTTCATAAAATCAGCATCAGAACAGTTCTGTGTCCTCATTCACACACAGTTCCCTCCAGAAGCTCAGACTCTCTCCAGACGCTCCTCTGTTCACGTTCTGGGCGCAGGTTTGGTTTGAAAGGAACCTCTGTTCCTCCAGGTGTGAGAACTGCTGGTGCTGGAGATTGACTAATTGAATTCCTCCTTTGCCTTGGATTCTCCACACAACCTGAACTTTCAAATTTACTTTTTTCAGAAATTCTGTGGGAAAAATTAATGATAAATGTACTTCCTGGACCAGAGTGGACCTCGATGTGTGCAGGACTGTTTAGCTCCTTATTCCTCTTAGATCATTTTCTCTTTTTCTTGTTCTGCCAGTTCCTTGTTCTAATCTCAACTTCAGCGTTTTTCCCTCAAACAGGAGACGTTGGACTCACATCCTGGAGGTCTTCCCGGGGGTCGTGGTCGGGGCGAGGACTCGCTCAGCGCCGCTTCTCCCTCCATCGACACTCCAAAGATCTGCTCCAGCTCCTGAACGTCCGGAGGAGGGATGGGAAACCGACCGATGGCCATTTCCACCAACGACAGGCCCATGCTCCAGATGTCCGACTGCACGGAGTAATGAGTCCCCTGGAGACGCTCGGGCTGCAAACACACAAACATATATCAACTTTTTATTGAATCATCTTCTCAACACTGACACTGACTCTTTATTTATTTATTTGTCTTTTTATTTATCCTGATCACTGAGACGAGTCTGGACACCGGAACAGACGAGGAGAAAGGATTAAAGTTTGTTCTGGTTCTCAGGTCAGATCAACATGAGTAATAATTCTCTATATATTTTTTATCTTTATTATTTTGGAGAAACTAAACAAACTACACATATTAGTATTATAATACAGACTCGTTTCAGACAAACCAAGACTAACATTTGTATAATTAGAGAGATATAATCACAGCAGCAGAGTCTGGAGTTTCATCTGAAACAGGAGTCAGTTTGGTCAATAAAAAAGGACAGAAGAATAAAAATCAGAGGTCACCGGCCACAGCAAAAAGTTTTAGTGCAAAAATCCAACAGTTTTACACAAATTATTAAACTGTTCCATTAACGAGCTGCTCATAAATTCTACATTAGTCACAAAAGTCTCATCGCTAAAGTGAAAACAGAACTGACTGAACCTAAAACTTTAGCAGCCGGTGTTTTTTACTCTCATGTTTTTACACTGGTGTTTTGACTCTGGTGTTTTGACTCTGGTGTTTTGACTCTGGTGTTTTGACTCTGGTGTTTTGACTCTGGTGTTTTGACACTCACAGACATGTACGAGCGCGTCCCCACGAAGGAGTTGGCCATAGAGTCGATGAGTTGCCCACTGACCCCGAAGTCACAGAGTTTAATCTCCCCTCGAGAATTCACCAGGATGTTTGAAGGTTTCACGTCTGATACACAGAGACAGAAGAGACAGAGACAGAGACAGAAGAGACAGAGACACAGACAGAGACAGAAGAGACACAGAGACAGAAGAGACAGAGACAGAAGAGACACAGAGACAGAAGAGACACAGAGACAGAGACAGACAGAGACACAGAGACAGAAGAGACAGAGACACAGAGACAGAGAGAGACAGAGACAGAAGAGACAGAGACAGAGACAGAAGAGACAGAGACAGAAGAGACAGAGACAGAGAGACAGAGACACAGAGACACAGAGACAGAGACAGACAGAGACAGAGACAGAGACAGAGACAGAGACAGAGACAGAGACAGAAGAGACAGAGACACAGAGACAGAAGAGACAGAGACAGAAGAGACACAGAGGAGTCAGATATAAATTCAGATAGACCATAAAATAAAGGTGTGTAATATTGTGATGTCGGGACTCACCTCGGTGCATGATCTTGTGTTTTTCTCTCAGATACGACAAACCTTTAATGACCTGAGAACATGAAACATGAAACATGAAACATGAGACTGAGGGTTTTTAAAAGGACTTTTCACCGTCCTCCACAACTTTGAGTTTTCACGTTTTCACACACAGATCATCAATGTCACGAGCACAAAGTTAACAGCTGATGAATCTGAGTGAAACACGTCTAACTCGGTTCTGAACTTTAGACGTGGAACCAGACTGACCAAAATAACTGCACTTTATATCACATTAATTATTAAAGTTTCTGAAAGTGGAAAATGTTATGAATATAAATAATAATAATTTTCATATCATGAACAGGTTCCATATTTAAACTGTTATAGAACTTTACTTTTTATAAGTGAAAACAAGAAGAATCTGGAAGAGAACTTGAGGAGAAGTGTTTTTTTTTCAGCTCATTCTGATGATAAAATGGAGATGATTTCTGTTGGAGATTCTGATGTTTCCTCTGCTCTTTTATCATGATAAACACTGAACCTGTGTAAAAGTCTAAACCCACCGCTGCAGGCACTGCCACAGACAAACACGAGTCACAACACACAGACTCTTTCTCTTTATGTCTCATGTAAATCAGTGTTTTTTTTACTCACTGCGATGCTGACTTTGCCCAGGATCTGCTCAGGGATTTTTCCGGCCTTTTTCAGAGACTGGTCCAGAGATCCTCCGTCCTGAGACACACAAACGCTCACGTTTACTCTGGGGTCGGAAATGTTCATAAACCTGCTCTGTGATGATCCTGGTGTTTTTATTTTGCTATTTTGTCTGTTAATAAACTCTGCAGGCCTCAGTGAGCTTCATTTGACTGGAGCTGAACTGACTGAGCTTGATTTTAAGATTTTATAGTTTGTTTTTAAAGCTTTGAATGTTCTGGCCCCACGCAGTGTTGGGCAGTTTACTTTTAAAATGTAATCCCCTACAGATTACAGATTACACACCCCAAAATGTAGTTTGTAACAGAATCCATTAAATTACTTAAAGTGAGTAATGTAATCTGATTACTTTGGATTACTTGATTTGCTGTAGAGAAACAAAGACTTGGATATCGTCAACATAAGAAGTTTTATCTGATAAAAGAAAATAAAAAGTCCAAACTTTACTGAACCAAATTAAAAATATTGATAGAAAACGAACAAACACGTCACACAGCAGGATTTAGTCCTGTTCAATCCTGGTTTAGTCGGTTTAAAAAAAAAAAAAAAAAAAGGGGGACACAGCCTAAAATGTGAAAACAGTTAAATCTCTCTGTGTAATCCATTTATTTCAGCAAAGTAACTGTAATCCAATTCCCACTCACTGAAACAGTACTGTAACTGAATACAGTTACTCATCATTTGTACTCTGATTACTCTGGTACATGTAATCTGTTACTCCCGACACTGGAAATATGTGACGTTAACAGTCTGTTCTTCTCTCTTCTGTTGTTTTTACTACAACTTCACTTCACACACGAGATGTCGGCTCCTGATCTCTCAGTTTAGAAAATATATTTCCCCCCAAAAGTGCAAATTATATCTGTTTTTTCTTCTTCATCACGTGTTTTTTGGCTGGTGCGATTTATAGTCTGAAAAATACAGTAGTTTTATTCTGTTAACGAGGTCTAGAGGAGTTAAGTCGAGTTTTATTTTATATTTCTGTTGGATTTGTTTGATTTGTGTTGTGCAGCACTTTGTTTAAGAAATGTGCTGAAAACGTAAAGTCGACTGTGTGACGTCCCTCAGAACTTCTTCACACAGTCTGGTCTCTAAACATGATTTTGTTGTTTCTCTGACAGTAGAAGGTGGAGGTGGTGTTGTGTCTGACAGTAGAAGGTGGAGGTGGTGTCTGACAGTAGAAGGTGGAGGTCGTGTTGTGCTGACAGTAGAAGGTGGAGGTGGTGTTGTGTCTGACAGTAGAAGGTGGAGGTCGTGTTGTGTCTGACAGTAGAAGGTGGAGGTGGTGTGTCTGACAGTAGAAGGTGGAGGTGTGTCTGACAGTAGAAGGTGAGGTGGAGGTGTGTTGTGTCTGACAGTAGAAGGTGGAGGTGGTTGTGTGTAGAAGGTCTGACAGTAGAAGGTGGAGGTGGTGTTGTGTCTGACAGTAGAAGGTGGAGGTGGTGTTGACAGTGTCTGACAGTAGAAGGTGGAGGTGGTGTTGTGTCTGACAGTAGAAGGTGGAGGTGTGTGTGTTGTGTCTGACAGTAGAAGGTGGAGGTGGTGTTGTGTCTGACAGTAGAAGGTGGAGGTGGTGTTGTGTCTGACAGTAGAAGGTGGAGGTGTGTCTGACAGTAGAAGGTGGAGGTGGTGTTGTGTCTGACAGTAGAAGGTGGAGGTTGTGTCTGACAGTAGAAGGTGGAGGTTGTGTCTGACAGTAGAAGGTGGAGGTGGTGTCTGACAGTAGAAGGTGGAGGTGGTGTTGTGTCTGACAGTAGAAGGTGGAGGTGGTGTCTGACAGTAGTGGAGGTGGTGGAGGTGGTGTTGTGTCTGACAGTAGAAGGTGGAGGTGGTGTTGTGCTCTGACAGTAGAAGGTGGAGGTGGTGTTGTGTCTGACAGTAGAAGGGGTGGAGGTTGTGTCTGACAGTAGAGGTGGAGGTGTGGTGTCTGACAGTAGAAGGTGGAGGTGTGTGACTGACAGTAGAAGGTGGAGGTTGTGTCTGACAGTAGAAGGTGGAGGTTGTGTCTGACAGTAGAAGGTGGAGGTGGTGTCTGACAGTAGAAGGTGGAGGTGGTGTTGTGTCTGACAGTAGAAGGTGGAGGTGGTGTCTGACAGTAGAAGGTGGAGGTGGTGTTGTGTCTGACAGTAGAAGGTGGAGGTGGTGTTGTGTCTGACAGTAGAAGGTGGAGGTGGTGTGTGTGTCTGACAGTAGAAGGTGGAGGTGGTGGTGTCTGACAGTAGAAGGTGGAGGTTGTGTCTGACAGTAGAAGGTGGAGGTGGTGTTGTGTCTGACAGTAGAAGGTGGAGGTGGTGTTGTGTCTGACAGTAGAAGGTGGAGGTGGTGTTGTGTCTGACAGTAGAAGGTGGAGGTGGTGTCTGACAGTAGAAGGTGGAGGTGGTGTTGTGTCTGACAGTAGAAGGTGGAGGTGGTGTCTGACAGTAGAAGGTGGAGGTGGTGTGTGTCTGACAGTAGAAGGTGGAGGTGGTGTTGTGTCTGACAGTAGAAGGTGGAGGTGTGTGTTGTGACAGTCTGACAGTAGAAGGTGGAGGTGTGTTGGTTGGTCTGACAGTAGAAGGTGGAGGTGGTGTTGTGTCTGACAGTAGAAGGTGGAGGTGGTGTTGTGTCTGACAGTTGAGAAGGTGGAGGTGGTGTTGTGTCTGACAGTAGAAGGTGGAGGTTGTGTCTGACAGTAGAAGGTGGAGGTGGTGTTGTGTCTGACAGTAGAAGGTGGAGGTTGTGTCTGACAGTAGAAGGTGGAGGTGGTGTTGTGTCTGACAGTAGAAGGTGGAGGTGGTGTTGTGTCTGACAGTAGAAGGTGGAGGTTGTGTCTGACAGTAGAAGGTGGAGGTGGTGTCTGACAGTAGAAGGTGGAGGTGGTGACAGGTGGAGTGGTGTGTCTGACAGTAGAAGGTGGAGGTTGTGTCTGACAGTAGAAGGTGGAGGTGGTGTTGTTCTGACAGTAGAAGGTGGAGGGGGTGTCTGACAGTAGAAGGTGGAGGTGGTGTTTGTGTCTGACAGTAGAAGGTGGAGGTTGTGTTGTGTCTGACAGTAGAAGGTGGAGGTGGTGTTGTGTCTGACAGTAGAAGGTGGAGGTGGTGTTGTGTCTGACAGTAGAAGGTGGTGGTGTTGTGTCTGACAGTGGAAGGTGGAGGTGGTGTTGTGTCTGACAGTAGAAGGTGGAGGTGGTGTTGTGTCTGACAGTAGAAGGTGGAGGTTGTGTCTGACAGTAGAAGGTGGAGGTGGTGTCTGACAGTAGAAGGTGGAGGTCTGACAGTTGTGTCTGACAGTAGGTGTGGAGGTGGTGTTGTGTCTGACAGTAGAAGGTGGAGGTGGTGTCTGACAGTAGAAGGTGGAGGTGGTGTTGTGTCTGACAGTAGAAGGTGGAGGTCGTGTTGTGTCTGACAGTAGAAGGTGGAGGTGGTGTTGTGTCTGACAGTAGAAGGTGGAGGTGGTGTCTGACAGTAGAAGGTGGAGGTTGTGTCTGACAGTAGAAGGTGGAGGTGGTGTCTGACAGTAGAAGGTGGAGGTGGTGTCTGACAGTAGAAGGTGGAGGTTGTGTGTCTGACAGTAGAAGGTGGAGGTGTGTCTGACAGTAGAAGGTGGAGGTTGTGTCTGACAGTAGAAGGTGGAGGTCTGTGTCTGACAGTAGAAGGTGGAGGTGGTGTCTGACAGTAGAAGGTGGAGGTGGTGTCTGACAGTAGAAGGTGGAGGTGGTGTCTGACAGTAGAAGGTGGAGGTGGTGTCTGACGGTAGAAGGTGGAGGTTGGAGGTGGAGGTACCATGTGCTCCATGCAGATGCTGATCTCCCCGTCGCTGTAAAAGGCGCCGTAAAAGCCCACGATGTAGGGGGAGTTACACTCGTGAAGAACCTGCAGCTCCCGGATGATCTGGTTCCTGATGGCAGGTTTGATCTCCAGGTGGATCAGCTGAAAAAGAACTGACACTGAGTTAAGATTTACATTTGGTCCTGTTCATAAAGAGTTTAGTTTTGTTTTCATCTGAGATAAAACCTGTAGTGACATGTTTCAAAAAACTGAAGCAAGAAATATAATAAAGGCTCATGTTGTGTTGTCTTCTGATGTTCTGCTGTTGTTGTGTTTTGTTTCATTCACAGTTTTAACTCACAAACCTGCAGATCTCCACTGTGTTTTTAAACTCCACACACTTTCACTAGAATCATTTGGATCATGTCAGGTGTGGGATTTATAAACTCTGTTGAACTGAAGGTAAAAGGAGCTGAAAAAAACGACCACTTCAAGGTGGAACAGAACGTTTGGAGCTTTGGAGATGAAGATAGAATAAAAGGAGTGAATGAAACAAACACAACTCCAGGTCTGAGTGACGAGGAACATGACTTCAATCTCACAGGAGTCACTTTCTTTTCCTTGACCCTGAAGTGAACATTTTAACATCTTCTACTCGACGTGAGATTCTGTGACATCAGAAACTTCACCCGTAAACCTGCTGGCCTCAGTGAGCTTCATTTGTCAGGTGCGGTCCTGTCTGTGCATCTGCTGAAAACAAACGTCTCATCACAGAAAACAGGAGAACAGAACAACTGTAACTGATGCTCCTGGTTTTAAAATGTTCAGATAAAACAGAGGTCATCAAACTAAGGCCCGCAGGCCAACTCCGGTCCTCCAGGCCCCTTTGACCGGCCCCGAGCCTCTCTGACCCCTCCCCCCTCCCCCCGGGTAAACTGAGGCAATCTTCAAAAGTTCATGGCCGATTTTTTAAAATTACTTTCTGGCAAATAATAACACATCTGCATCTTGTATTTTATTTTTAAATGTTTTCAAGTAAAAAATATATTTATATGAAGTATTTATATTTAAATAATTATATAACACATTTACTTACCCCAAATTTGCCTGTGGTACAGTTAAAGACAGTAAAATGTTTGGTGTTAAACTATGAAATGTTGACATTTCATACGTTCATCCCCATTTCAGGGTCAAACTGTTCTGTTCTACAGCCCCGACCCCCACCCCTGACCCCGACCCCTGACCCCTGACCCCCACCCCTGACCCCCACCCCGACCCCTACCCTGACCCTGACCCCAACCCCTGACCCCTGACCCCTGACCCCCCCCTGACCCCAACCCCTGACCCCCCCTGACCCTGACCCGACCCCCACCCGACCGACCCACCCCCCTGACCCCTGACCCGACCCCTGACCCCAACCCCTGACCCCGACCCCACCCCTTACCCCACCCCGACCCTGACCCAACCCTGACCCGGACCCTGACCCCCACCCCTGACCCTGGCCCCCCGACCCCCAACCCCTGACCCCGGGCCCCGTCACAGTCAGGAGTCAGAATGTGGCCCCTAGAGAAGAGGGTTTGGTGACCCCTGACATAAACCCAGTTCTCCGTGTCTGACCTTCCTGGCCATGATGAGTCCTGAAGGTCTGTGGGACACTTTGAAGACCACGCCCCCGTTTCCTGCTCCGAGTTCACAGATCTTCTCGAAGTCGTCGTCTTTCAGTTCTCCGACCTTCTGCTTCTGCGTGAAGAAGGCCTCCAGACGCTTCCTCTGCTGCTCGTCCAGCTCCAGCTCCTCCAGCTTCTTCTGCAGAGACTCCAGGTTCGCCCTGGAAAAAAACGCTTCAGTCAGGACGCAAACGCTTCAGTCAAAACGCAAACGCTTCAGTCAAAACGCAAACGCTTCAGTCAAAACGCAAACGCTTCAGTCAAACGCAAACGCTTCAGTCAAAACACAAACGCTTCAGTCAAGACGCAAACGCTTCAGTCAAAACACAAACGCTTCAGTCAAAACGCAAACGCTTCAGTCAAAACGCAAACGCTTCAGTCAAAACGCAAACGCTTCAGTCAAACGCAAACGCTTCAGTCAAAACACAAACGCTTCAGTCAAAACGCTTCAGGCAAACGCTTCAGTCAACGCAAACGCTTCAAGTCAAACGCAAACGCTTCAGTCAAAACGCAAACGCTTCAGTCAAGACGCAAACGCTTCAGTCAAAACGCAAACGCTTCAGTCAAAACGCAAACGCAAAACGCAAACGCTTCAGTCAAGACGCAAACGCTTCAGTCAAAAACGCAGCTCAACGCTTCAGTCAAAACGCAAACGCTTCAGTCAAAACACGCTTCAAACGCTTCAGTCAAGACGCAAACGCTTTCAGTCAAAACGCAAAACGCTTCAGTCAAAACGCTTCAAACGCTTCAGTCAAAACGCAAACGCTTCAGTCAAAACGCAGTCAAACGCTTCAGTCAAAACGCAAACGCTTCAGTCAAAACACAAACGCTTCAGTCAAAACGCAAACGCTTCAGTCAAAACGCAAACGCTTCAGTCAAGACGCAAACGCTTCAGTCAAAACGCAAACGCTTCAGTCAAGAAACAAACGCTTCAGTCAAACGCTTCAGCTTCAGTCAAAACGCAAACGCTTCAGTCAAGACGCAAACGCTTCAGTCAAAACGCAAACGCTTCAGTCAAGACACAAACGCTTCAGTCAAAACGCTTCACAACGCTTCAGTCAAAACGCAAACGCTTCAGTCAAAACACAAACGCTTCAGTCAAACGCAAACGCTTCAGTCAAAACGCAAACGCTTCAGTCAAACACAAACGCTTCAGTCAAAAAAACGCAAACGCTTCAGTCAAAACGCAAACGCTTCAGTCAAACGCAAACGCTTCAGTCAAACGCAAACGCTTCAGTCAAAACACAAACACTTCAGTCAAAACACAAACGCTTCAGTCAGGACTGTTTTTACTCAGGTCGAGTCATATAATAAGTATTTAACAATATGAACATTTCAAACTCAATTTCGATACCGATACCACGATAAATAAAAACCCTGTTTCCACGTTAAATGGTAAAACTTTCTGAACTATTCCCATGTGTCCTTATATGTGTAATAGTTTAGTCCTGGTTTGGTCCTGGTTTAGTCCTGGTTTAGTCTTGGTTTAGTCCTGGTTTAGTCCCGGTTTAGACCTGGTTTAGACCTGGTTTTAGTCCTGGTTTAGACCTGGTTTAAGTCCTGGTTTAGTCCTGGTTTAGTCCCAGTTTAGACCTGGTTTAGACCTGTTTTAGTCCTGGTTTAGACCTGGTTTAGACCTGGTAAATCCTGATATAGTCCTGGTTTAGTCCTGATTTAGTCCTGGTTTGGTCCTGGTTCAGTCCTGGTTTAGTCCTGGTTTAGACCTGGTTTAGACCTGGTTTAGACCTGGTTTAGTCCTGTTTTAGACCTGGTTCAGTCCTGGTTTAGTCCTGGTTTAGTCCTGGTTTAGACCTGGTTTAGACCTGGTTTAGTTCTGGTTCAGTCCTGGTTTAGTCCTGGTTTAGTCCTTGGTTCAGTCCTGGTTTAGTCCTGGTTCAGTCCTGGTTCAGTCCTGGTTCAGTCCTGGTTCAGTCCTGGTTTAGTCCTGGTTTAGTCCTGGTTTGGTCCTGGTTTAGTTGTTTCTTTCTGAAGTGGTTTTAGATCAATATTTGGATTTAAAACGTCACAGTTTCAACAGATTCACAGGAGTTTCCTCTTTCCAGTTCTATTTACATTTGAAGAACTGTTTGAAAGAAAACTGGAGCTGAAGCTGAAGCTGAAGCTGTGAGTTTGTGAAGGTGTTTGGAGCAGCAGCGTCTCCTCTGCAGAGACGAGCTCTTCACCACCTCAAATAACCATGGAAACAAGAGCGAGGGAGCGACGGAGGGATGTGGGCGGCGTGGGCTTTTCACGAGCGCCACGAGACCAGAGCAGGAAGAGAAGAATGAGAGGAGGACGAGAGGAGGACGAGAGGAGGAGAGAGGAGGACGAGAGGAGGACGAGAGAGAACGAGAGGAGGACGAGAGGACGAGAGGAGGACGAGAGGATGAAGAAGACATCAGACCCACAGTACACTGTCCCGCTGTAGTAAAGTCACCCCCCCACAGGATTTTGACTCCTCTTAATTTTTTCTTTAGTATTTACTGATCTGATCATATTTCTCATGTCATTTACTTTTATCATATATTTCTACATGTTCACTTTATTTTAAGGTATTTTAAGAAATGATCCCAGTCGAACAGAAGTAAACAACAAGACCAAAAACTCAAGTTAATTCATCTGATATAAAAATGTATTGAACAGATACATATGTACTCGAGTTTATCAAACTGTTGACCTTTTTTCTGTTCCATTTTTGGTTCTAAAGTTCCATCCGTGTTTTAAACAGACCATGAATGAAACATGGAACAAAAATATTTCCCAAATTTCAAAGACCCAAAAACCATGTAAATAAATGTTTGTATTTCATCATATCTTGTGTTATTCCATCTTTGAACTGTTGATGAAGGGACAGGATTTTTCAAAAAAAAAAAGTATTTGAAATGATATTTTATAGAAATAGTTTCTTTCATTTTGAAGTAATATTAAAATATTCAGTAGAAAAAAGCCACAAATGATGTAAAATCCTGCACCTTCTACTTGTTTGTACAATTTTCCCTCCGTTACTTTTCCCTCCGTTACCATGAACTTTCTTAATAAAAAATCTCATGAGTCAAAAAGTCAGAGGTTTTTCAACCTAATCTTGTACCATATGGTAGAAAACTATATGAAGCAAATATTCAAACCAGTTTGTTAAGGATATGGAAGTGAGAACCAAGAGTTATCACTGTTTGGATTTATTGACCAAAAAGTGCTGCATATTTCATTCCCTCCGTTACCGACATGAGTTTTTTTAAATATTTTTGTCAACAACTTGAAAGAATCTCACAGGTTTAACTTGACCCTGTTGGAGTGTAACTCTTTCCTACATTCTGATACTTTACTTATTTCAATAGTTCCTCTAGTTTCTGAATAAGAGACATTTGAATGTCAAAAATCTGACCCTGTTTCCTCCGTTAACACTTGACTGGACCCTGATGTTTTGATGGAGAACGACTTTTGTGTAAATGTAACATAATTGTTCAAATTGCATAGACATAATAATCTAGTCACTTTTTATTTTGTATTTTACATTGTTCTGGTTTTCAGTTTATGTTCAGATAATCCACACGTCATTTTAAGTGAAGTTATTGATTATAGAAACATATAATAAATCTTCTCCTATCATCTATTTTACTACTCAACACTCGCATCAAGAATCTCAGACTTCTGGTCATCGTTCAGGTCACACGGGGATTGATCCTCTGAAAAAGTGATGATCAAACCTCCATGTTAGTTTTCCCAGTGGGACGTGTCTATTGTCAAAGTCGATCTTTATACTTTATGAATGAAATAAATATGAATAAATAAAAGTGGAAATGACGAGAGTGAAAATGCAGAAAGGCTCGGAGTGCAGCCCTGCAGTGCTCGCTGTGGCCTCAGGGGGCAGCGTTTATGCAGCAGTTTGGAGATTTCCACCAGCGATCGACGGTTCAGTTTGATCGAACAAAGTCTTTAGAGTTTGGATGGTTTTCTGTGGTTTACAGAACGATTCAGACGAGGAGGAGAAGAGGAGAGGAGGAGGTGATGATAAAAACTACACAGACGTCGTTCAAACACGTTGGGAGGACGGACTAGTGCAGAACGATTTGTTATTTTTCTGTTCTTCGATAAAACTGAAGCTGTAAAAGGTTGAATTATGATCTTCTCTGACTGTGTGGCAGCCAGGCTCAGTCTGGTCTGGGGCAGCTGTGGCTACAAGTGGACTTTGATCAGCACTAAACATCAGACGTGTAGGTTCTGCTCAGAGGAACATGTCTGCTGCAGTCACAAGCTCCGTCCGACTTCGGGTCTGTGGATGAGCCGCAGTGAAGTTCAGTGAAGTTCAGAGAAGTTCAGTGAGGTTCAGAAAGGTTCATTGAGGTTCAGAAAGGTTCATTGAGGTTCAGAAAGGTTCATTGAGGTTCAGAAAGGTTCATTGAGGTTCACAAAGGTTCATTGAGGTTCATAAAGGTTCATTGAGGTTCATTGAGGTTCAGAAAGGTTCATTGAGGTTCATTGAGGTTCAGAAAGGTTCATTGAGGTTCATTGAGGTTCAGAAAGGTTCAGAAAGGTTCATTGAGGTTCACAAAGGTTCATTGAGGTTCACAAAGGTTCATTGAGGTTCAGAAAGGTTCATTGAGGTTCAGAAAGGTTCATTGAGGTTCAGAAAGGTTCATTGAGGTTCACAAAGGTTCATTGAGGTTCAAGGAAGTTCAGAGAGGTTCACAGAGGTTCAGAGAGTTTCAGAGAGCAGTGCAGGAGCTGTTTTCTCAGTGAGCGTGTTGGGATCTGTCCGGCCTCAGCTTGTCTGGAATGTTTTCGCCATCGGCCAAATTCTTACATAGATTCAGCACAATGTTTTTATGATCCACGATAAAACTCGAGCTGACTCCAGGTCTCCTGTCGCCCTCACTCCAAACTCACAGCCTCCAAAACAGACCAGTGTTACTAGGGATGTAACGGTATCCAAATGTCTTGGCGCGATATTATCATGATGTGCGTCTCACTGTACGATATTTATTGTGATATTCTGAAGAGGCTGATATAATTGGACAGGACAGTTTTTTACTTTTAAAATACCTCGACAAGATTTTAGTGTGAATTATTTCCATCAGAATCTCAAGAATTCAAGTAAAAACATATTTCTACATGTTTTCTGCGCTGAAATGAATCATGGGAAATGTAGTTCCTGATGTTTATA